TTGGTAGCGTTCACCGATCCTGCTTAGGAATAGGCTAGTTAGTCTAAATCATCGAGGTCATCAGAGCGAGATGGTAGTTTGAAGAATTGGGTTTAAGGGGCATGAAAAGAGATGATTAGTTCGCACGACACATGCGGGGCATACCTTAGGTATATCGAGGTCGAGTTTGGATAAGTAAGAGTTTAACCTGCGACAATATCCAGACCTAAGTTGCGTCAGTTTTACGTGGGACTTTTGAGACAGCTCGAGCGCTCCGTCTGCTATGGGCGGTGGTTTGACTTCGAGGACGCCATTTACAGGGAGAGAGTTCTTGAAGGTGTTTACTAACTCTTGGTGAATGGCGTTAAGTGCCTGCCTATACGCCGTCTTGTCCAGCGGTTGTTACACATGTTTTTGAGCGCAGTCCTTTAAGTAACCTCATATAAAATATCTGCAAGGCAATCGAAAAGGAAATTTTTCAGAATGCGATAACTGACCACACTGAGACCTTGATAGTGGCAGAAGTAATATTCCTCCGATCCCTCCTAATCTATACGCGGCCAGCTGCGAAAAAACTTGGACCACAACAACACGGAGTCCGGTTGAGGAGGTCTTATCTAGAAGAAGTAAATATAAAACTGGTTGCTTGCTTATATGACTCATGGAAAGTTTTGTTTGTACGAAAAATTGTTTCTGGAATTGGACCAGGGACGCATTCATAGCTTATGAGCTTTTTGTAATTATAAAACATCGATTGAGAATTAGATGGACGCTCGATTGCAACAAGATTGCCATCAATAGCACCAACACAGGTCTAATTCGGCTTCCGCAAAAAATTACTCATCAATTTTAAAAGTAATTTCATTCATTTTGCTACCGTTATGTTTTGATATTTCAAGTTCTGTTCGGCGACTAGATGGACAGTAACAATTTTTACTGAACTTTACTGAATCGTGTTCATTAAGCCAAAAATCCAGTAAAATTAGTAGAAGGCAAATTTTGACTTTTTGTGTGGAGAGAGAGAGTTTCGTGCTGGAAAAATTTCAGCCAGTAAAAACTAGAAAAACTATGGAAAACAGCTGATTTGTAATCAAAGGATTGAATTTTTGTCAACAAATAAAAATTTATTTGGAATGAAAATAATATGAATTTATTAAGTAAAGTCAGTCATTAAATGAAAATATGGTGGCAGTAAAATCATACCCGGCTCACCACATTTTGGAATTGAGTTAAGAATGCTGAAGGCATAGAATTTGAACATATGATTATTTTTTGTACAACACTAGTTGTTTTTGGATTTCCATAATTTCCATGCAGGGGAAAATACTAGTTGCCAATTAGAAATCAACTAGTTTATCTGCATTCATTTTCCATGTAAGCAACTGATATTTTTAGCACGGCGATGTATTACGAGCTGACAATTGTCCTATTATGTATTAGCTTCATACTAGTTTGATACTAGTTCACTTAAACGTGTTGAATTTCTATTTCACCAAAGAAAAAAACTAAATTAAATAAAATTCAGTTCGCCGGCTGCGGGAATCGAACCGGAACCCTCACGCACCACAGTGAAGACCTCTAATCACTAGATTAACGTTGTGATATATGGGGGAACGAAATCTGCGCACTTCAACAGAAGTTTTTAGGAAATTAAACTCAGCCGCGTCAAACTAAAAACAAAAACAACATACGAATCACGTGGAAGTAAAAATTTCCACCGAATATTAAAAAAAAAAACTTAAACTCTAATCACTCGGCTATCATAACGATGCAACCAAAAATGTCATTTTGCGCACATTAATAGAACAAAGCAGACAATGGAATTCAGCCGCGGTCTGCCGATATAACAACAACAAACAGTGGTGGAAATTTTTATTTCTCCCGTTACTGGTGGACTTCTTTACAAATAACGAACTGGTATAATTTCATCTTCAACATACTGGTATTTAACTAGAATTTTTTCATACTAGTTGGTTTTCCCCTGCAAGGTTACTAGAACCAAGGAGCCGCAAAACAAAAAAGGCTAAATGAAACTTTAGCTGGATCGAATCGAAGAAACTCTACACCGATGTTCAGTTAATATTATTAAGATACAAATTGTTGGAAAGCAAGTTTTACATAAGTCTTTGTCCTTTTAGAGGATTATTAGAAAAAACCTACTGGTATCTTGATTGTTGAAATAAGTTTTGAATACAATTTATAAATTATGAATGCTATATAATTGTCAATTTTATTAAAATAAACAGCTGTTGAAGCTGGCTAATTTTTACTGAATCCTCTTCGGCGAAAGCTCAGTTAAGTAAAATATGTTGCTCTCTCGATTTCTGCGTTTGATAAGTGTTTCACTATTTAGTGCCTCTTACGGTAATTAGCTACGGGCAACGTTTTTCAGTATTAGTGAGAAAATCGAATCGAGAACAAGATTTTGATGTCAGTCTGGACAAGGTATTAGATACCTACATAAACCCACCAAGGATACTTCTTTCGCTTGCTTTAGTTATGTGCGGTATAGCTAAGAACAGTGTTAAATCTTAGAACCTTAATCTTCAAATGTTAAATTAAAAGAAAATAAAAAACTTAAAAATATATGGTCGCTTCAACAAACCGTTATAAATACGTATCTAGCCACCGATTTAGTTTCCCTTTCTTTGGTTCTTTTGTGAATAATTCTTTTCTAAGCACCGCATTCTCGCAATGTGTTCAGGAAAACATCAATTTGGAATTTTCTAAAAGACCGACATAATGACTTAGCCTGAAACGTATCAGATACGGTAAAAAAGCCTTTGTTGTTACGAAATATATATATATATTTTTTTATTAAAGTTTTAAAAGATGTTTATACGATCGACTAGATTTCAAGCGAATGTGCGCTGGCTACATTTGGTGTTTGAAGAATTTTTGATTTCTAACGCCAAATTAATATATACAATATACAATAGCGGAGCTATACTCAATTCCTACTCTAGAGTAGCGCTTGTACAAGATGCGGGGCCTTAGGTCACAACTAAAAGAGAGGCTTCAGTGGAGCCACTCGGAGTTACTCGGTTTAAAGGTGCACGAAACTCCAATCGGTGACAATGGGAAAGACGTTCCATCACCTGGCCATGAAGAAGTTTGAATAGCAATCGCCTGCTTAAAAACAACAAAGCGGCTGGAGCTGACGGCCTGCCGACAGAGCTATTCAAACATAGCGGTGAAGAACTGAGGAAGTGCATGCATTAGCTTCTCTGTGTGCTCTGCCCAATTTATAGAAAAGAAGACCCCACAGTCTGCGCCAATTATCGTGGCCGAGGAGGCCTTCTTAATATCGCATATAAGGTCCTGTCGAGCGTATTGTGTGAAAGACTGAAACACACCGTCAAGAAACTGATTGGACTTTATCACTGTGGCTTCGGTCCTGGTAAGTTAACCATTGACCATATGTTCACCATGCGCCAAATCTTGGAAAAGACCCGTGAAAGTAAGTGATTTGTGAATGTTTAAACATGTAAACAAATATGAAAACTCTCCACACATATTTTATTTAAAAATCGTGATTTTTTAAGAGAAGAAGGTAGCACTAAAAAGCCGAAAACGTTTAATGTCAGATAGCTACAAAGCCGACTGGGAAGAGAGAATGAAACTGCGTTTAAATTATTGTATCTTGCATATATGTACATATGTATGTTTGCACAGTGGCATCAACTATCAAATCGGTATTAAATTTTGTACGTTACTCACTTGGGGGTTGAGAGAAAAAATCGCCCAGTGGGCTTTGTTTGTTCTGCATAAAACAAATGTATATGTATATACATATATACATATTTAAATAAAAGCCTGCTACTCACATTAGCAGTAACGGATATTTTGTTAAGTTAACTGACTTCAAAAAGAGAACGAAGAGCATTCGTTTTTAAGCGACTCTCTTACCAAATACTTAACACAAACAATTTTGACATTTTTTGAATGGACTTGTGAGATTATCGACAATTTTTTCCTCAGACTGCTAAGTGAGAGCGAAATATTTGTGCTTGTCAAAATATGACAGCTGTTATTTCGAATAAATCGTAAAGTGACTTAATAAGGCATTACACGATAAATGAAATTTTCATTGCGATTGAAATGCTTTGCTACTTTTTGTAATTGTTTTGTTTGTGTAAAGCTGCTGATGTTTTTTTTAGTTGGTGTTGTTTTGGTGGTGGTGAACAGGTCAATTATGAGATTTAAATGAAAGTTTGTTGATTGCGGAGGAGGAAAATATTAAGGTGCTCTTTTCGTTTAAGTTTGGGGGTGGGTATTTATTGTCGTGGGAATGAATTGTAGATGCGTACATTCGTAGCTATAAGGAACCCTAAAATTATTACCAATTATTAATTAAAGGTGATGTGAGCTGGGAATATTTTTTGTTAAGAATCGCAGAAAATGAGGTAAGAAGCAGTGCTGGCAAATCTAAAGAGATTCATATTTACATATATATATGTAAATATACATACATATGTGTGTGCTCCTCTACATACATTTTTATATCTACTTTTAAATTATTCACAGCTATCATGCTTAGGAAATAAAACAAAAAAAAATATTGTGTTTAGAAATTTAGTTGAAAGTACAATCAATACCTACCTGCACATATATATGTATGCATGCACATCGAACAGTACTAATATATACATCCTATACATATATGCTTTCTCTAGTCCAGAGAGTGTGCGTACATCCTCGGAAACATAATTATATCCCTAAATCATACATGCATGAAACAACAGGTAGGCACGGTGTACGGCTTTCCGACGGTTTTGAAACTCAATTTCTTAAAAATCTCATCATCGTGTTTGTCCCTTTATGCTAACAATATGTATCTACACATTTATGCATATATTATTAACCCAGGCGGACGAGAAGTGAGTTTGCGAAAAATGACGGTTTGTTTTCAGAGTTTTTCCCATAAAAACCAAACGCGATACAATAATTATGTAATTCCAAAAACAGTATATTTGGAATGAAATACAGAACAAAGACCTGATCATCTTCGTAGGTCTTACGTTCTTTTATCATTCATCATTCATGATTAACGGTTTGAGAAAATATTGGCATCCATTTATTCCTAGAGTTTATTCTTCGTATTAGCTCATTTTCAAGGCGGCTGCAGTAACCGAGTGGTTGACAGTTCGTGCAAGAGCTTAGTTCAACTTCTGACTTCAACAAGCAAAATTAAACAAGAAGTTTCTTTCGAAACCGGGGCAGGGATAGTAAATCCCTCCGAGTGTATTTCTGATATGAAGTAAAAGCTTTTCATAAAAATCCATCAGCCATTCGGGATGTCTTACAATAAACTTTAGGTCCCTTATTTTTTGGGGAAATACCCAGCCGAACATCACAAATTGTAGGAGTTTGTTTGAAAATCGGTTCATGGGTTGTAGAACCCCATATTTTTGTTACCACATCGCATCCATCATCAATGCACCATTTCTATAACAGCCTCCAGCATTGGGGAGATATTGTTTCCGCTTCTTACATCTAATCTTTTAAATCGAATTGAATACAAATTTGGATGCCTATTGGCTCTCTTTTCACTCAGTTCAATAAGCTAATTTAAAATTGGTCGGTTTTAGCGGCCAATTCTGCTAAGTACTGCCTCTTACTTGCTTCACCCTGTTCGCCTTCGATACCAATTTTACATTATTTTTTCCTCCTTGACTTTGATCTTCAATATTAGAGTTGAAAGAAAGAATATTAGTGGTTGGAATTATATATTATATTTATTGCTAAGTATCTCTTATCGTCCGTCTGCTAAAGTAACTACTCTCACTCTTCTTCTGTAAAGTTCTAGCGATATCCATCTCAAAGCTCCGTAGAGAAACAAATCTCAATATTTTCGAAGCTTGCGTCAAATTATTACATATTTATTAAGTAACAAACAAACATTGTTTCTACTTATATAACAGTAAATAAGAATTTGGAAGTTAATATTTATTTAGTGCCAGCAAATTAGCAATTTGAATTGAGCAAAACAGCCTGATTCCTGAAACTTATACATACATACATATATACATATACTTATTGCTCTGTCATAATAGACGAACTAGCCAACATAACTACAAAAAATACCGCCTTATCAACGTTAACTTGTGGGAATAACAGTCTGTTAATGCTCCAATCAACTTGTGGCAGGCAATGTTAATATAATACAACAATACGCAATAGTTGTTGTACATACATACATATATACATATGTTTAAAAGTACGTACCCATGTAGTTATGTTAGGTCACTGTGGCATCGCAACAAATCAAAAGCTGTAAGAACAGTATAACACAGAGTTGTATTGTGCAATTCAGAATTCTCTCGGATTCGCTTTAGCCCGAACATCCCCGATTGTGTGCTACTGCGCTTTACTGCCAAGTCTCTCTTACTCAGTTTTTGGCTACCATTGTTCGTGAGTGGCCTCATGCAGCTTACATAGTGATTTAGGGCCGCTAACAGCAGTGCTGTAAAAATTTGTCTTCATTCAGTCGGTCGCTCGTCGGCCAATTGATATGGCATTGTTGCGGAGCGGCACAAAATGGTGGCGCAATCGTTTCTACGTCGCTCGTTGCTTGTGGAGAATAAGCACGCGGACGATATTGTTGATTGCATATATACATATACATATGTATGTTTGTTTGCTTGGAGATAAACGACGCGCCATCCGAAATTTGGTTTGTGGGAGTGAAGAGGCGTAGATGATGGGAAGTGTTGTTTGCAATGCCGTTGAGAGGCATGAAAATCCCCCGCCCCAACACTTGTCTGTGCCGGTGACGTTGGCTTCCACTATTCACATTTTTTTATATTTCTTTGGTTTTATTTTTGCGTTCTGCTTTCGTACGCTTTGTGTTTAGATTTTCTTTGCGGCTTTGCAGTTGTTGTTGGTGAATTTTTTGATTATTCTTTGTTTGCATTTGAATTGAACTTACCTACATATGTATGTACATACATAAGTATAACTGCTTGGTTTGCTAGTTGACTGATTGAGCTACTTTGAGGTCATGATTCGCACCCTGGTTTGAGTCTTATTATTTTTGTTGGCATTTAATGTAATCACTGAGATTTACTGTTACCTAGTTTCTATTAGGTGCAGTTATTTATTGTTATTGCTATTTTTAAATGGTGAAAACTATTTTAATTGTATTAGGTTCGGGGCATCAATAGATTCAAAGCTTTAACTTCATACTGGAGAGTTTGTCGATTTGCCAAATATCTTCCCCCCCGACGCTCCTTAGGTTGAGTTGAGGGAAGAGTATATGGAGTGCGATCAAAGGAAAAATCCAATGTAGTTATGCTTAATAGAATCTAAGCTTTAACGCCGTTATCATATTGTAGAAGTATTTCATGTGAATAATGTTATTAAAAGCCGGCCGCCACCTTTTATGGACGAAGAGTTGTTGTTGTTGTTGATGTAACCGAATTGGTTTTCGGAGAATATTGCAGGCGTGACAGTCCTTGACCGGATCAAAATCTGGGTCGTTTTCGGACGAAGAGCTCGATCTGTCCCATGCGAACCTACGAACTGAGTTCTAGAAAATACGAAAAGGATACAGTGGTCATCTTGTTTGGTAAATAATCATATCGGTAGGCTTAGCACAAAGCTCTTCTCACTTTATTTATTGCACTGGAGTTGGTATTTTATTTATTTATTCAAAACGTTACTATCAGTCAGTAAAAATAATCAACCGTAAGTAATTTCGAAAATTCGGAAGTGCAATTCAATACATAAATATGTAAATATGTATGTTATGTGCACACAAACACAAACAAACACAATAATTTGTCTGTAGCAAGGACCTGCCACCGTGAATTGGCCGCCGTTGCACGCCACTTCAGTTAAGATACTCGTATTACTGTAATACCGTAAACAAAGTGATAGGGGAAAACAACAGGATGAAACGGGTGGGGGAGGCGAAGAGAAGTGAAATAGTCGACGGGCGCATACATAACCGCACAAATTGTATACAATTTCAGTGCCATTTTAATTTCCCGCTGGCACTAGGGTTCGACCAGAATAGTCAGTGAGTGGGGGAAAAAATATGAAACCAAAATCCACAGCAACAAAGAGACAACAGTAGTATGTACAACACACATACATATACACAGAAGAGGGCGACAACATTCCTGTTGATTTCTCTGCCTTCTTCAGCTTCATTTGCTCACGACTCAACAGTGGCCAACGAGAACAGTAACCAACAAGTCACGTACTCAGCAAGCTGAGACACACACATGCATACACATATGGTATACACATACAGGACAGCAACGAACAAACAAAAGCACGCTCACACTCTATTTGGTGAAGAAGTAAACGGAAAAAAGGATACTGAGCAAAGGAATACAAATTCTGTCTAAAATGAACATAACATAAATACATACATATATGCATATGTACGTGCGTATATTTGTGCAAATGTAAAAAAGTAGATCGAGAATAGCAAACAAAAAACGGGCCGAGTTGGGAAAATGTAAAAAATTATACATTTTTTAAGTGTAGAATGAAAGCGTCAGCGAATGGTTTCGGAATTAGGCACATGTACATACATACATATGTATGTATGCAAGTATGTAAGTAACGCGCACTTGCTACCGTGGGTACGTGCGTCTTTCTGCGCTGTGGGACGTATCTGTATGACGTTGTTGCTCACGACAAACTCAAACACTGTACATAAATTTGTATTACATGTAAATATGTACATACATACATACATACATATGCATGTACAAATGAATGTTTGCGATTGTATGTTTATTGCAGCTGCTCTTGCGGTTATGTTGAAATCCGTACTTGGGGTCCGTTTTGTGTGCACTTGAGTGGCTGACTGGCTGACTGGCTGCATACCTCGCTGGCGAATCCCCCCAGCGCGACTTACAAGCCAGCGCATGCCATACTAAACTTGTTACAGACGAATAAATGAAAGAGTACAAAATATAATACAAATACATATATACATGAATATCCATACATTTTCATATGTACAATTCGCAATATAGAATAAGAGGCAAATGACTCTTTAATTCGCCGCCCTCATTTTCACTCTCAGCCATTCATCCATCGCAATGGATTTTAGTTCTTAAGTGAAAGTGTGAAGTTCTACCAGCTAAAATTTAAAAAATAATTGGAAGTAAATTGAGAATTTGTTTGAAATTCGTTTTGAAAGTAAAAAATTTAAAATAATTTTTGTGGCCCATGAGGGGATCGAACCCGCGACCTTCGCGTTATTAGCACGACGCTCTAACCAACTGAGCTAATGGGCCAGATGTCTCCCGCCCGCTCAATTGTCTCATGTAAATATAAGCATAGTGTTAGTACATGTGTAGGTATGTGTACTAACGCTTCTCTTGCTGAAAATAAATGAACATATTTATGTACATAAATATGTATGTATAATGTTGTTTGCATAGCACATAAGTATGTATTTATTTATTCATACATATTGCTTGACTATTCAAAGTTTACGATCATTCGGAATAGATTAAGTCAGAAATAGAAATTTAAGGGGATTTCCCTGCCGATCATTAGCACTGCCAGTTTTATTTCCAATTCAAAGCTGTTAGATAGGAGTTTTAAAAACAGTTATACAGTAAATCTCTCTCAATTCTGAACAGAATAAGAAAAAAGCGAACCTAGGGACAGGCTAGTTAATCTAAGTCACCGAGGTCATCTAACGGAAGGTCCAGGAAACGTGCTATATCGACGGGTGGTCCTCGTCGGTGGTACGTAATGGTCGGTAAAACGTTAGCAAAATCTCTCGGATGTCGTTATCATTTACGATACTGCTTTCATAAAGCTTAATCTGTGTTCTTGAGGGACAATAACATAGTAGTAATATGAAAATAGCTTAAAAAGAGGCGTAGGCGCAGAAAGGTAAACTGAAATACCGTGGAATGCCTTTGAAGGTAATCGATTTTCCGGAAGCAACCATTGTGAAAAACCTAATAACAAAGGAAAATAATCAACAAAACAACCCTCTACGAGATAGTGTAGCATGTGAAGACATCCTCATCAATATGCTGTACAGTTCGATGGCGTCTTTAGGTATTGTAGCCCCTCCAATATCATGGCGTTGTGTTCAGCTACGGTCAAACTTACCAGAGTCTTCTGATCGATCCCACAGATATATTCAAACATTTAGAGCAGGTTAAAATGGTTGCATAAGGGAGGCAGTATACTAAGCCCATTCTAACACTTTGAAACTGGTCTGCAGACCGGAGATTACAACATGGAGTTCTCCGGCCAACGAGTTGAGAAAGTACAAGCATATGCAAACCCGATTCATTTCAATACCGATGAGTTCCAATTCACCAACAGAGTCGGTTACGCATTACTGAAATTTTAATGTAACCAAGCTCTTTCGTCTATCAAAAGAAATTGTAGATTTGAGTGTGGTCTCAGTAAGTTGTGTACTCGTAGATATTTCTTCCAAAGGACAACAGACAAAGTAGAAATTAAGCGTGGCGACGGAATAGTTTTCCTGACTCTAGTATTAGTGCTAAAACACAGATACATACCGTTAACCAGTTGATGAACGAGCTTGCGAGAAAGGTTTCTTCCTCTCCACGTTCGATGCATAGAAAAGTTTCAACATGTCATAGCTGGTTACGAGAGCTTATCTTGGCCATAAGAGAGGACATATCTGCAATTATGAGTAATCTTTTTAGACATGCTCTATTGGGTATGAGGATGGAGCTCAGGGGTTCTAGAGGTGCCCAATGATTCTTGGCGAGAAACAATAGACAGAATATATTCTCCTTTAAATACTTGGGTAAAGAGTAGATTACAAAAACAAATACTATCACTATATACGAAGTTATAATGACCTGAAAGATTTTATATGCTGACTTTTTGGCGCCGACTTCAAGGCAAGCTCTTAAGATAGGATATTAAACTATATGTAAGTAAGTATATTAGTAAGAGATTCTCAGCCGATGGGGCCACAGTAGCCGAGTGGTATTAACATTCGGAAAAATTATAGAAAAATTAATTTTTCTAATTGCGGTTTTCCTCGGCAGGGAATGTCAAGCCCATAAAGTAAAAATCCCATAAAAAATAATTCGAGGCGGCTTAGAATTTGCTGTTGGTCTCTCCATTTTTTGGAGAAACATCAACATGCAAACCACAAATTTCGAGGAGGAGCTCGAACGAAAAATAATATTTTGAGCCGATTGGTGTCATCTGCCACAAATCTCTCTGTTGTATGTAGCAATGTATGTATATATAAGTGTAGGTACCCACAAGTTCTAATAAAATACATCTGTGAATTTTATCTCTATACGAAGCTCTCAACGCTTAAAAGACACAAAATGTTATTAACCGCAAAACGGGTATTTTGTAGTAAATTCATACATATGTACACACTATACATATGTACATATATATTTACTTACATATATGTAATATTACACAGTACTACAAGTGTGTCAGCGACAGTGTCTGTTTTTGACAACAAGTCACTATGTCAAGTGTACCTCTCTCCCTCCCTCCCTCTCTCCCTCTCTTTCGTAGGTAATGAAAGCAATAAAGTAAATTACTTGTAAGTATCGAAAGGAACTTACAACACGCAATGAATATATAGATCAATCGATTATGCACATGTACATACATACAAAAGTAAATATAGATACACATACGTGTACGAGTATGTATGTATGTAATGGAGGTAAAGTGTGGAAATTGGGCATTTTATTTTATTGTCTAATCGAAACATTTACTGGTAAGTGTAAACACTAACTGCCCGATTACAAGAAAGGGTTAAATCAAGTATACATGTATAGGCATGTATGTATGTATGTGCAGATGTTACTATTTTGGTATAAAGAATGAGAAACTGTCATAAAAAAGGTCACTGCCGAGTAATTTAATGGTTTGAACGTGTGCTATTGTGGCCGAAGAAGAAGAAGCAGTGAATAAAGGCAATAGGATGCTGAGCAATTACAGAATGACGTAGTGCAACAACAGGTCTGGTGTTTCATTCTATTCTGGGCACTCTTGTTTAGATGTGTATGTTTCGTATATCGAAATGTGACAGTAATAAATGGATTTCGACTCGGCATTTAACTTTGACAATGAAAGTGTACTCATTCTTATTGGAAAATTCTCTTTCAAATCAGAGTTTTTTTGTTTCGTCGAAAGGACTTTCCGTTTGACCTTCGCAATAAACCGTTGCTACTTGGGAGGTTTATAACTAAATTTTTCACTTAATTTTCTTCGCTACGAATTAATCTTCGTTAATTAAATTATTTTGGATTGATATTTAAGATTTATTACGCTTTAGTATTTAGAGTGGAGAGTAAAAGTGAGTACATGTCAAAGTTACCGTTAATTGCCATCATATTGGATTTGTATTAGTCCTTTGACAAAACTATAAACTGCTCGGAATTATTTGAAGTGTCGACGTGTCTATATCAGCGTAGTTGGAGCAATTTTGAATTTTACTTCAAGATTTTGAGGAAATTAGAAAATTTTATTGCAAGCATTACTAAGAGAGACTGTTAGTTTCGCTTAGTAGCTACTGAAGCTAAAATAATTCAGTCGGTGGTGGGGCCTACGATCCAAAAGATTCGACAAATCTCAGCTGTTTCAACACCAAGGCTTTCGCTAAACAGCATAGAAGATAGGAAACGGCTAATTTGGTGAGATGAATTGGAATTTAATAAACCAAAATACTCGGTGGAGGAAGTGTGCTGGCTCGCAGCTGCTTCATCTGGTGGAATATTGGTCAAAGGATAATATCTTAATATTTTTAAGGCTTATCTTTCCGATTTTAATGACTTAAGCGTGGAGAGCTAAGCTGAAATAGTATTTCAGCAATTTAGAAACGCCAAATGAAACCAAGTCGCTCTTCATCTGATACTTCTAACGGAGTGTATTTCGGACATAAAATAAAAAAAGCTCCTCAAAAAAGCCATCCACCATTTGGAGACGGCTTAGAATAAACTGTAGGTCCCTCCATATGTTGGAAAACATCAAGACGCATACCACAAATTGGAGCAGGAGCTGGGCCGAAAATCGCCAATACTTAGAGTAAATTCAGGCCCCGTTATATTACTACAACATTTAAAAATAATGGAACAATGTCGACATACTTGAAGAATTAAAGTCAATGAGTATATTGTACAAAATAAACCGTAAAATAAACAAATGCCCTTCCAACATTGTAAATGGTAATGCAATGCCATGAAAAGAACTCGTTACTTACTTGGGAGTTACTTCGATAAAAGTTTTACCTGCTCAACTATATAGAATATTGTGGATTTGCATTGGATCATAGGTTTTGTTGTTTGTGTGACATTTAGCGTCGTTATGCTGCTCGACAGCTCATTTTCTAAAAAGTAAGATCCATTGACGACGCCGAACCATAAGCCGCACCAAACAGTTCAACATTGGGGATGAAGGAGCTTTCAAAGACCTGAAACGACGTTTGTGGATGCCCAAATCCAAAGAACGACAAGGAATGAACAAACACCGAAGTTTCTTCTGTTCGATTTGTAGAAGTTTTCCAATAAAATGCAGTGATGTTCACATAGAGAAGGCAAAAATTACATGATCAAATACGAATAAGTTTTTGAATATATAAATGTCAATACGAAATGAATTAGTGAATTTTGGTAGCTCCGTTGCGAAATTCGAGCTCTTGAGTGCCTCTTTTTTAAGCAATGTGTTAGATTTGTAGGAGTTTT